TTAAGCCGGTAAAAATCAATTAAAAAAACGTTAAAAAAAACCTGTCCAACGCAGTATTCAATAACAATATTTGATTTTCATGTAAAATGGTTCCTACAATCATTTTAAACATGTCTGAAAGTGTAGGAAAAAAATTTAAAATGTCAAAAACTAATGGAAATTAAGCTCTAAAAATTTAAGTGAAAAAATGGGTGTAATTGTATTATTCAGAATGAACCATTCATTTTTATGGAAATTGGATGTTACCATTAAATTTTACACGTATTCAAACCTAGGAAATAATTTTAAAATTTCAAAAAAGCATGAAAAATAAGGTACTAACATGTTTGCAAACAATTAATCAAAAAAATGAGTTGAAAAAAAAAATTAATAATCAAAAGTCATTTTTATGGAAAATAGACTTTACCATTAAATTCTACACCTGTCATAGTGTAGGAATAAATTTTAAAATTTCGAAAAAACTCGAAAAATAAGCCGTAAAAAATTAATTAAAAAACCGCGTCTAAATGCGGAAACCGCGTGTGCTGCGCGCAGCCAAAACCGCGTCAAAACGCGGAAAAACCGCGTTTTTTTATTAAGGCCCTTTTTAAACATGTTGGTTATTCATTCAACCCCTTTTGGGACCCATTGATGCAAAAAAAAGTTTTGGGAAAAGTGACTGGTTTTGAATGGTGGATTTCCTATATTTGATACCCCCTAATGTGTTTTTTAATTAATTCTTACAGGCTTAATTTTCATTATTTTTTGGAATTGTAAATTCATTCCCCACATTTTGATGGCAACCAGATGTTACAATGACCAGAACTGAAAATCAATGATAAAAGAAATCAAAGGATGGTTAGTTAGTTGAAGATACCAGGCCAGGTTTGCAGTCAGGTGTAATCAGCTGGGTTGGGCTTTGGAGTCACCAGGATCAATAGGGGAATCTAGATCAGGACAGGAATTTATGAAGAATGAAAGCAATTGGGGTTTCCTCTTTGGGGGCTTTGGCAAGTTTAAATTTTGAGTTCTTGTTGACTATCAGCTGGTGAATGTGGCAAAGTGGTTTTTGGCAGCTTCTAACTTGATCAAGTTCCTTGTCTTCAGAGGGAGAGATGAGGAGCTTCAGAAAAGTGAGTTGTGCCCAGAATTTCAAACATATTTTGCAGGTTTTTTCACAGTCTGCACATTGAGTGTGGCAAGGAGATTGGTGGAGCTAGCTAGACTAAGATGTTCCTTGGTATGATGGCAACTGAGGACAAAGGGCTGGGACATGAAGCGCAAGGCCCGCTGGGTAAGCAAAAGGTTGGGGATTGTGTTTTTTTGCTTGTGGGGGTATTGATTTATATTTTTTCCTGGTGGGAGGTTTGAAGATACAACAGATTTCAAGTTCATAAGTCCCTACGGCATCTTCCAATACAAAATCTGATACCAAAGGTGTTGAAATCTGAGCACCATGTGCTCAATATTGTTTCCCTTGAGACTGAACCTGTGCAAGACAAATGACATCATTGTTTGTCTCTCACCAACCAAGAACTTCTGTTACCAATGCAGACATCTTGCATTGGTTGCTTCAACCTAGATACTTAAAACACTCTCCTCCCTTAAATCATTTCCTTTTCTTTTTTGCTTGTGGAACCTCAAGGTCATTTATCTAGACCTTACATCTTGTTCATGACACTGTCTTATCTCTCACATCATCATAAGCAAACCCTCCGGTTCCTCTGCCTGTCAAAGCTTAAACAACAAAGTCTTTTATCTTACATTATCTTCTTTGTCAACCATAACTTCAGCACTTCCCTTCCCATCAACTTTTTTGCCAACAGACCATGTGCCTTTCAACTCTCCAGTGATCCTCAAGAAAGCCATCTCATCTTTTCTTCTATAGTAGGTTCTGGATGAGTTGCCTTCTCTCTTGATATTCTCATGCAGAAATTGAAATTGAAAACATTCTTTTAGTTTTTACTTCCATTGTCTTTTAAAACTATCTCTTGTTAATTTGTCTCTCTCCCACTGTTGTTTGCCTTCAGGTTAGATTCTTTTTTTCTTTATCTATTGTATTTATTATTCATTTAAACTCATAAGAAATACAACCTTCAGTTTGATCATTCACAAAGGCAGAAAATCTTTCTGGAGTCCAAAAACCCTGGTGCAATTGATTTTGGTTGATTCACCAGGGTTCAAAAACACATTTCTTGTGGATCCCACCAGTAGGTTCATTTGCAAGGTCAACACCTGCAACTTTTATTGACTTCCTGACAGGAAAATATGTATGTCAGGTAGACAAATGTTTCCACCAATCATTCTTCTTTTCATTTTTTCAAAGGTCAAGGAGACCTCCCAGTACTCCACCTTGGCCATATAAGAACTAAGGCAGTGGAAATTATTCTCTATCTACTGTACACATATGGGTGTGGACTTGCCAACAGGCAAAACATGATTTCATTTTTTGAGCAGACTCAAAAACACACAATGTGAACTCTCTTGGTATTAGAGACTACAGTTCCTGGATTGAAAAGTTGCAAAGGGTGCCAAAATCTGAGTAAAGATCTGGGCTGAAGTTCCCTGTGTTCTGAATTTTTTTTTCAATCACCCACTTCCATTTGAAAATGGTCTGTATTGACTTGAGCATGAAATTCTTTTCTGCTCCTGCAATCATGCAAGGTGTGGCACACAAGCCTCTCCTATGGGGTTTCCATTGGACACCAACTTGGGAGCCACAGCTTAGGGGGCTTTTCTAGTGTAGGTGCATAAGACAGTTGCTTGAATTGAGACATAAAAAAGAAAGACAATATTTATTCTTTAGGAGGAAATCAGGTTGGGACAATTCAAAGGAATTTGAGGATAAAAAATGTTTTGCCTGACAGCACAAGGGATTAGTGTGAGCCCAAGGCCATCATCCCAATCAATCTAGCAAGCTAGGTTGTGATTGAGGGCATTGCAAAGATAAGAGTAATTAATTGATTGGTTCGATGAACCAATACCAGTAATTACACTGATAAGAACAGATACTACACTTGATCTAAGCCAAAAGGCCAGAATGGATGCTATGAGCTCCCAATTGGTTGTATATGTACCCAGGGCCCACTGACGCGTGTTCAAATCGCGATCGAGACGGAATTCGGAATGTGTGTGGCGTGTTCAAAGGTGGTCTCGCAGGGCGTGTCGGTTTTGTTAATTGTAAACTTTAGGATTCAAGCTGTAGCATCAATTCTGCTGGCATAAACAGCAATCCTCGAGATCGGTTTTTTGAAAGAAATGAATGATGAGAATATTGTTAATCGTGCTACTTCTTTGTTATGGGGAAGGTTCAACTTCGATCGATCGATCGGAGGGCGGTAAAACTATGATGGGGGGAGTAGGTCCGAGTTGGTTCGTCGAACTCAGGACAAGTAAAAATTGTGCCATCGCCCTTTGATCGGTCCATCTCGACTCGAGCTGACTCCACCCCCTGAATCCTATGTGCCCCCTCAATTTTCAAAACATGAACGTGGGCAGAACTCGCAATGCGCTCTATCCTAAGGCACCTTGATCTATCGGAGGGGAGGGCTGTGATTCACTTGCAGAGATGAGGTGATTATCAGTCTTTATTAGTCCAAAGAAGAGTTAGATCAGTTAGATCACCGTACATAGATCAACATTGCAAGTCCAACTGACCTCAGTTTGCATCACATGTGACGACCGCGTCATCACTTCACCCCACATGTCTGGTGTCATTAGAGCTAACAGGACCTAACCGCCTATGGTGACGGTGCTGCTATGATGGTCTTTTGCGACGTTGTGTTTACCTTTGGAGCCAAAAACTGGTAAGCATAATAGGCCTGAGACTAGTGACAGTGGCATAGGAGAAATGAATTGCTGGAGTGAAAAATCCATGATTTTGTTGCTTCATTTTTAGTGATTTTCCACATTATTTCCATTTCTCTTTTTTCTTGTACATATCTCTTCCTTACATTTTCTTTCTATGTTCTTACAGCCAAACCAAGAAAGCTTGTGTCTCAGTTGGCAGACAATTCAAAAAAAAAAAAACTACCAACTGCAGTTGGAATCTTTGGAAGAATAAAGCACCCCGTATGCCCATTCACATACAGGGGTTACTGCAGTGTAAAATCCTTATTTTTTTTCTACCTCAGTTCCAGGTCATGAGAGTAAGACCTTGGGATCCTGAGGGAAATTTTAGTCAGGCCAGCTCATGAACTGCAAGCAACTCATTCCCCTGCCCCCCATAGGGCTGGCTGGTTGGGTCCGGTTTGGTCCTGTTGGTGCTACCAGCAGGTATGTTGCAACCTGTAAGCTGGCTGTATTCTTCCAAAGATTCCGACTGCAGTTGGTTTTTTTTTTTCTAAATCTTCTGCCAACCAAGCAGCAAGCTTTCTTGGTTTAGCTGTACTACTAATGTTTTCATTTTTATTGCCTTCTAAAATTAACTGAACTTTTTCAAAAAGATCACCTGAGCATGGAAGAATTTGAATCGTGTTGAAAGTTTACCTCATCAATTCACACTTGGTGAGATGAAATTTTTATTTTGTTCCAAAAAAGGGAGAGGTGTCAAACCAAACTTTCCCTCTTGAAATAAAAAGAAGATATACATGGCTGACACCAAAAATGTTGATATTTTTATTTTTAGATTGTATTGAATTTGAATTATGGGGGTATGTGTCTCCTGAAATTAACTAAATTTTATCAAAAGAATTACCCTAGCATGAAAGAATTGGAATTGTATTAAAAGTTTACCTCATCAATCCACACTTTGTGAGATGAAATTTTGCTCTAGTTCCAAAAAAATGAAGGGGTTTCAAACCAAATTTACTCTCTTGAAATAAAAAGAAGGTATGCATGGCTGACACTAAAAATTTGAAGATGTTTATTTTTTATGTTGCAATAAATTATGGGGGGGGGTGCATTGTTTTCTGTGGGGATATATACATTGTTGACAATAATTGATGTTGTGTTATTTTCCTTATATTATAATGATTGACTTAGTTTTGCCTACTGATTTCATTCAAGTGTTTGCCTTCTATCTATTCATTTCTCATTTTTTCTGTGGGTTGGATGAACGGATTATTCACACGCTCCAAATCTACAAAGTGTTTGTTGATTGAAGCAACATTAACATGTTTTAGAGTCGTGTGAATTGAGTCCAATGCTGATTTGGTGCCAGTAGAACGTTCCAAGCCCAGTGGCACGTGCCAAGGAAAGATAGCCAAGGTGGCCCACTCTTTGGACTTCTTAAGCGATTTGCCAAAGTTACAATGGTGATGAGCGTTCTTAAGGGAGATGAATAGATTGAGAAACTTGTCCTCTTCTAAGAACACCTGCTTCCATTTGTGCGGGTTGGTTAGTTTGTAGTATGTCTCCAAGGTATTAAGGGCAGCTCGAGTTGTTTCAGCCTGGTGCTTGTTGACCCGTTGCGGTGAAATGTTTCTTGTCGCCGGGAGCCGAGCTTCCCACCTGGATGAGCTATTTCTGGTCACATCTGGGTCAATTCTGAGATAACGGATGATGCCTGATAGATGTCGTGAGAGATCGTGATGTAATTCTGGGGCTTCAAGTCTGATGTTTGATGAATAGTGATTTTTCATTTCGAGTTCGCGCAAAAACCAATTAAGTAGATTTGTTTGTTCTTCAGTCCCTATTAGATGGGCTTTACGCTTCAAGGAAGGCCTTCCATAGGTCATCGGAAGAAATACTGACAAAAGTTCGCCGTGGCGAGTACTAATTTCCTTCAATAGAAGCTTCAACCTTCGCACGGCTTGTTGCTTGGAAACCTCACCTGAGCCAATCAGCCAATTGAGGAGAGCAGGTGCAGTGCCATGTTCACCACCCAGCTTTCTCCACACCTCACTACCCTCCAGATCATATTTAAATCTCGACTCGTTGTCCTTCTGGCCACCCGGTGCATACTTCAGCGTGCTTACCCAGCCGAATAGTTTCAATTTCCATTTGGAAGGACGCGACCGCATGGTATTGAGCTCATTCCGTATCAAGCGCTTGGTTTTGACCTCATCCTGCACCAAGAGCTTCGCTTTGACCTCATTCTGTACCGGGTTGGATTTATACAGGTCCGATACCAGTCGATCGAGTTTTCGCTTCCGATTTTGGATGGGGTCACTAGGGGTAGTTTCGGCATCTTCATGAGAGGTCGCGGCAATATTACCGAGGGCTGAATGATGAGTAGCTTTGCAAGCATTGTTCATGGGTAAAGGACGGTCAATTCGGGGGCTTCGCTGGTCTAGTTTTTATACTGATCTCACGAGAACTTCGAATCCCACTCACTAGGTGAATCGGAAGGAAAAGAATCCCGATGTTGGATCCGATGACCAACTTCCGTATCAGTCGAGCTCGGTGGATTAGGATTAGAATAGTCGCGGGTCGCGAGCTGATCATGGCCGACTTCTCCATGTGTTAAGCCCGGAGAATTGGTGTTAGAATGGTCCCGGTTCAGGAGCTGATGACCGCCTTGCTGATGAGTCAAGCTCGGGGAATTGGGACGGATGCTTTCAAGGAATCGATCAAGTTCGTGATCGTTGAACCAGTATTCATGGATCTTCGGCGTGAAGCTGGCGGAATGGACATCAAAATTTTCGACTGCCGGCGGCAGGATAGAGAGGTGATCCTGGTTATCAGCCGCCAGTCCTATGATGTTCGGGGTTTCTTCTTCGAACTTGGGCAAGTAGTACAACTCCGTCGAGCTACACGGCGATATCGCTGCGCTACAAATCCGGGATAATGAGGAATGAAGCAGTACACTACTAAGAATGATGATTCCCAGCCGGTCACTAATCATTTCAAAGAAAGTTGTCTGCTGAGGTTTGCGGGCGCCCGGATATCAAGAGGAGAAGACAAGGATGTCAATATGGATGTGCCGGCGGGCCAGAACTGTGAGGGGTAAGGGGATGGACCCAACCTGGTCGTGCTCATTGCGATTCCTTCAAGCACGATTCATTGGCCATAAGACAACATGTTACTCTATCCGAGTATTTGCGTCATACACATATGCGTGTCTGGTGGCCCTACGGTCGTGGTAGGATTGTTTCGACCGGCGGATTGCAAGTCCCCTATGTGCTATAGCATATGAAACAAAACGCCTGAGTACGAAAGCGACATAACATACACACCCACTCCACCCCCTCATCCATTTGGTACTCAATGTAGTTGAGACTAATTGTCTCATGCCTGATGATTACACATTATCGTGTACCATGATTATGAACATGAATCCCCCAACTTTTCCCGGGGATTAGCGTAGTATAATCAATTGATGAAAGATTTATGAACCAGCTGTTCTAGGGTGTCCTTCCCCATGATAAGAAATTTGAAACACACGTGTTTTTGAAAACGACTATGATAATGTGTGGCCAGTCCTCTGGGACTGGTTCTTCCCTTTGAGCAGCTGCTACGCCAACACGCTAAATACAAATATTCACACTTGACATTCCTGAACAAAGCTGAAATGAGGATACAATTATTTATGTAAGAGAATTGAGAAGTGAGAGTGATTTGAGACCAAAGTATTCCAACAAGATAATTCATGCTGGAAGAATGAGGTGTCCAAACTGTCCAAGTTTAACGATTGTATCTTCATTCACGTGAAAATCTGCTGTTCAGCAACTATTCCACTAGCGTTAGTACTCTTTTGTTACTGTAGATACGAACACCTGTTTGAAACTTACTTGGAAGGCTAAAAACAGGCTCTTAGTAACCAGCCAGAGAACAGACTAAGTCCTACTTCTTGCTCCAACGTGAGCACCACCACTCTTTGACTGGTTGAAGGATCGAGGGAGGACGAGAATTAGTAAAGTAAGACGACAGAGAGGAGTTGCAGGGGACGGAACGGTCTGAGAGATGAGAGAAGGAGTCCGGCCAGTGACTCTCCTCGGCATCGTAGCAAGTGGCCGAGGGGGGAAAGACGAGCGAATTCTCTTCTCCTGGGGGTTGGTCTAAGAGCAGATAAAGGCCCAATTCGACTCGCGCCCGTCGATATTCGTTTCGCTGGATGATTGACTCCACTTCGAGTGGACGGGAAACGTACGGCTCGAGTGGCTTGGATCGGTGTCGTGTCTGGGAACGGAGGCTCGGACGTGGTTGTTGGGCTTTCGGCCGGTTTGTTGCGCTTGACGCGTCTTGCAAGTTATCATCTCGTTGTTCGTCCTTGATAGCTCCCTCGCCTTCAGCAATTCCCAACAAATCACGCTCTTTCGCGAAAGCTGAGCAGCGAGCCTTCCTTGCGCTTTCGAGACTCATTCTGCCGCTGTCCGACACCGGGTATTCTGCTGCTTGGGTCGCCATAATCGAAGTTAGCCCAGCGCAAAAGACTAGAGGTTATGTATTCTAATTGCTATCGACCACTTGCCAAGTTGACCTTTTCCTCACGTCAATAAAATCCAACACACAAAACCGTTGCCTTCGGATCGAAATAATGTGATGTGGCCGACTGAGGTCGCATATAATTGTAGTTGAGTGTATGTTTGGTGAGGAGACAATTGGGAGAGTGTTAAGAGTTAAGGATGGATGGTATCTGGTCCTGTGAATACCGGCAGAGAAATCCACTCACCTCATAGTCGAAAGATTTATGTATGTAAGGAGCTCAGTCAAGCTTACCGGCAAGTGCACCACTTGATGTTGCTGTTGGGTAGGAACAACCACTAAAAACTAAAAAGAACTCAGCCTAATTCAACCGACTGCAATGCCGCTCGGATGGGGTGAGCAGAGCTCCGCTAGGATCGACCAGGCCCTTTCAATTTCTATGGCCTACATCCGTTTAATTTGGAGAGACATTGCAGCTACTTTACTCGCTCTTTTTTTAGTTGAGTACATTCTTGTTCATTAGATTTCTAGGGGGCACAGGTCTCGCTTTGTCGGCGAGAGATATTTGGGGTCGTGGTTCGAGGTGCGGTCCTTTGAAAGTGTGATTGATGGGAGCAAAGCCCGCTGCTTGATGGATTGAGCTGTTTGGAACTTTGGTTCCTTGCTCATGAGCTCTGCCACTAGTAGTAAATAATTCCAAAAAAATACATTGCCGTGCCGCTCACCTCCCTATTAACCTGTATGTACCCGTCCATGAGGACCCAGTTGTTGTAGCATGGAGTAATCCTAATCCTAGGATTATCGGATCACTCCATACTACCATGTAATACCTGTAACCTAGGCATTACATATGTCTCGCCGAGAGCTTTAGCCACCTGTAGTAGCCTATATATAGCGTGTAACAAAAGTAGTTGTACATTTCTCTCTCCTCATCGAAATATATCCTACTTTTGTTTGTCCATGCTCTTTTAGGTTATGAGCCTTCTCGTTTGAAGAGCTTTTTTTTCTTTTTTCTCTGCCTGTGTGGCCTTCCGTCTTCGCCTGTGTGGTACTGCCTTGCCTGTGTGGCCTGGTGTCTGTTCGTTTTTTTTTTCAACCCTTTAATCTGACGATTGCGTCTTGTCTCCGCGATGATTCCACCTCTCTTTCGCCAACCTCTTTCCTATGTCTTTCCGTTCTTATTTCTTCTTTCTCTTTTTCCCTTCCTCCTTCCCTCACTTCTGCCTATTTCTTTTCACTCTTACTTCTTCCTACCTGCTCTTGCTTTCCTCAATTGCTGCTTTTTTTTACTTCTGCTTTCCTACTTCCCTACTCCTATTTTTTCTCCCGTCGTCGACTCCAAATTCCCTATGCCCCTAGTTCGCCATTCCCCTGTTCGTCGCACTGCCATGACGCCTGGCTCTTTGGAAGATGCTGGCGATGCCTCCTTCCACAACGATACGCTGTTGGATGACCAACATGAGGATCAACATGACGATCGTCGGGCTCCTCGGGACAACATTGACAACAGAAATGTTGACAATCGCCGCCGTCACCGTGAGCATGCTCCCCACACCCATGACAGACCCGTCGACGACCAGCGGATCATGGACGACCAACGTGGCATCAACTCCATGGTCAACAACGCTATTCAGGAGTTCGGTTCCGGTAACTTCTTGATGGCTGATGGCTCGAATTTTCGGTCATGGACTCGCGACATCGAGATGATCGCCCTCAGCTTCCTTCAAGACAAAGATTTTTTCAATTCACCCTGTGCTCGCCCTCGGATGGAGCCGGCTGGCCGCCGTATTCTCCTGGGCGTCATCGACAGCTCACTCAAACATGAACTCTACTCAAAGGATTCTAGCTATAAAATGATGGAAGCTATCAAGTCCAGATTCAGCTCCGTCAGCAAGGCTCGAATGCTGACCAAATGGCGTGAACTGCTCCACATCAAGGTCGATATGTCGTCCAACCCTGCCAGTGTGGCCACTCAGTACAAAGCCATTATCGATGAACTTGGAGATATGGGAGTCTATCTGGCTTACGATGACCTCTTGCCACTTGTACTTCACGACTCCATACCTCAAGGTTCCAATCTCCGCCTTGATGCTGAATTCGCACTCAATGGTCGGCAAGTGATTTCCTTTGAGAAGACCTGGCGTATTTTGAGCGAGGCGATCTGCCAAGTCCGGGCTGTGGACACCCTGGATGACTCCCGCCGGCCTCCTCAGTTCATGGCCGCCATTCCGGATTCCCCGGCTTGTGACGATCGCTCCCCCTCCGTTGTCAGTCATCCGGACAATGTGTACGCCCTGGCCGGTGTGGAACTGCTGAACAATCAGAAACAGAGCTTGGAGGGGAAATAGACAACTACACTACGAATAATGTAAGTTGAGGCTATGGGTGCTGTTGAGGCTGCCCTCCTGTACAATGCTGGAGTTGGGAAGAGTTACACTAAGAAAAAGAAAAAAGGTGTGGCGTGGATTCTAGTAATTCTTAGTGAGTTCTAGGACAGGGAGGTGTTATCAAGGTCTAGTGATAATACCACTGAGTGAATGAGGAGTGATGAGGAAGGAGGATTGTGGAGTGAGGATTAAGGTTCAGAGGGTATGAGCAAAATATGCAGAGGTGGTCAAAGGATAATGTGCAAAATATGCAAGGTTTCTGAGGAATGAGTGCAAAGTATGCAAGGGGTCACTAAGGGGCAAAATATGCAAAAGAGGGGGAAAGAAAATATGACTAAATTATTTCTGGCAAAGTATGCATTGATTGTTGTATGTATTCTATCTATATTCTCCCTATTATCTATATATCTATATCGGGGGGGGGGGTACAAGTGTAAGAGGGACTACTTATATACTCTAGGATACAAATGAGCACAGACTGTGGCAATTCTGGTTATGAGAAAGAAATGTACATATGTATAAATAAGAGATGAGAAATGTAAACAGAAAGCAAGGATGATTAAAGGGGAACAAACCCAAAAAGGAGAAGGGCTGTGAAAGAGTGTACTACTGTTATCCTGAAGGGTACATGTGAAATAATGAGTGTAAAGAAAGTATCTGAGAAAATATCTGATATATGTAATGAGAAACAACTACTTTAAAGAATGTGACTGATGCAATGGGAACAAATAATTGTAAATGAGAGTACTTGAGAAAGATATGATGTATGAAGCAATCTGTAAATATGTACCATATGTAGCTACTGTGTAATGTAAATGTACAGAAAAATATCTGTAGAACTAAGAATGAAAATAACTATTGATCCAGTAAGAAATGAAATATGGCTTGAGTGAGTGACTATATATAAAATTGGGTGTAGAATCTGAATATGTCATAATAATGAAGGAAAACCAAGTGAATATACAGTGAAATAATAGGGGCTTTGGAAAGGTATGGGTTACCACATCCTCCCCCAACTTATTGTCTGTCCCCAGACAATGCAGCCAGTATGAAGATAGAGGACTTAAGAAAAAGATATAAAGAGAAAAATATAAAAGAGAAAAATAACCAATGAGGGGGGAAAGGGAATCCAGAAAGAGGTCCATCCAAAGGAGCCATATCCAGAGTCCAGGGTTGATCCACTTCAAGGAGGGAGTATCTGTTCCATCCAAGAAGGCCAAGTCCTGTATCTAAAAATACATCCATGGAGGTAATCTGTATCAAAAAAAAGAAGAGCCAAATCCAAAGTACTGTAATTGATCCAATCCAAGAGGCCAAAATATAATCCAGACATTGATCCACTCCAAGAAGGCCAAATCCATAGTATCCAAAAGTGAACCACCCTAAGGAAGGAGTATCTGTTCCAATCCAAAGAGGCCAAATCCAAATAAAACAAAGGTGAACCACTTCCAAGAGGCCAAGTCCAGATTCCAGGGTTGAACCAATCCAAGAAAGCCAATGTCCAGGTATCTAAAGAAAATTCTTAAAAATGGGCCACCCAATGGAGGAATTCTGTTATCCTTTCAATGAGGCCAAGTCCAAGAGTCCTGAGGTTGAAGTTCCATCTAAGAAAGCCAAAGCCAGGTGACCAAAGAAAATCCAAGGGGAAAGACTGAGTCCAATAGTCCAAAATAGTCCTAAGGCCAGTAAGAGAAAAAAAGACTAATGATAATTGAACCACTTCAAGGGGGAGTATCTGTTCCATCCAAGAAGGCCAATATCAAGAGTAAGACCTAAGTTGATCATCTTCAAGCTGGAGTATCTGGTTCCAACAAGAAGGCCAAAGTAGGTAAAAGACTTCTGAAGTTGATCCAATTCCAGGAGGAGTATCTGTTCCATCCAAGAAGACCAATCCAAAAGTAAGACCTGAGTTGAAAGGCAGGTAAAGTGACTGCTGAAGTTGATCCATTTTCCAGGAGGAGTATCTGTTCCATCCAAGAAGACCAATCCAAGAGTAAGACCTGAGTTGAAAGGCAGGAAGGTTGACAAAAGAGAAAAATCTGAATTCCAAATTCCAAAAGAATCTGAGTCCAATGTCCAAAGAGGAAAGTCTGAGATGCCAAAGGGGAAAAATCCAAAATCCAAGGTCCAGAAGGAGTCCAGGGAAGTAAGAAGGTTTCTAATAATATGTAAAAGTAATATATCCAATAAAATAAACTATGTAAAATATCTTATATTCAATCTAACTGAGAAATCTGAGTAAATCTGGGGGTTCAATCTAATTATCTCTAATTCTGAAACTACACAAGTATATACCAAAGTCTGAAGGAGTTGAAGATATGTAATAACACAATAATGGTGTAATAAAGGGGGTGATTTAAACTAACTACTCCTGAAAAAGGTCACTAGTGGTGATCAGAAAGGTAAAAGATAATTGATGGGTGGAATGCCCCAAGATAAGGAGGTGGTGGGAGGTAGAGAATTTATGGAAGAGCCCAATGAGCAAAATATGCAAGGTTGGTTGAGGGTGGAGTTTAAAGTGCAAAATATGCAAAGATTTGAGGAAGGGATTAAGCAAAATATGCAAAGTTTGGTAGAGATTTAAGTGCAAAATATGCAAGGGTAGACTATCTGGTAAAGACTATAATCTGATGATGAAGTGGGGGGAAATTCTCAAAGATGTGGTGAATGAAGAGGAAGTTGATGTCTGTTGTCCATGGTGGGTGAAAGAATGAATCCATGGATTGCTGAATAATGTTCATTGATGGGGGTGAAGGAATGTATGTGCCATGCCTGATGGTTGGTTTGGTGTTTTGGTAAATGATGGGATGACTGAATCCATGGATCCATGGTTGGTTTTTTTTTTTTTATTGCCAGGAAGAGTGAGTTATTAAATAGAAATTGATTGAAAATTGAATTTTGCATTGCTGGCCAAATTAGGTGGAGGTGAGGTTGAATGGAATCCTAACTGAGAAGCTCAAGAGTTGTCCACAAGAGAAATTTTACTGGAAAGGGAAAGCAGGAAGGTTGTAATTAAAAGTGGAGGCATCCAAAAAGGTGTGAGTGTTGATGGCAAAAAAAATCCAAAGAAGAATCCATGATGCTGGGGGGGAATGGTCTGAGGTGGTGAGGTGTGCTGAAAAAATCTAAATACAAACTGAATCCAGGGGGGAAATGATGGTGCTTTTGCTGATCATAAAAAAGAGTTTTGAAAAGAAGTGGTCTGAGTCCTGAGAAAGGGCCTAAACTTTCAAAATGAAATGAATCCAGAAACTCAGTTCTCCAGAAGACAGGCTTCCGGTACTTGAAAGGACTGCTGGGTCTGTGTCAACGCTCCGACCGTCACTGAAGAGAGAAAAGGACTCGATTCAGAGGTGGTCCTCATATGTACACCCTTGCTGATGGTCAGAATCCGATGAAGGCGGAAGTCATTTCTCTGGCCGTAGCGTTCATGTCACCAACAGAAACAGGAGGTCAAAGTAAAAAAGAAAGAAAAGGAATTGAGACCGAGTTCATTTCCGTTAGTAGTTGCCAATCGGTCACACAGGCTGAAGATCTGAGTCTGATGTCGGTCCGATCCTCTCTTGTTGTAAGGAAGTCGTAGTGCAGGCCCTCCCCATCGGCCAAGAGACAATCAGAAGGAAAACTATAGGCGGCCAGGCCGACTACCGTTAAACGGGAAGAGAGAAGTGATTAGAGCGTGGAGAGCCATAGTCGCCAAATAGGTCATCCGGGCTGAGGATGTGAGTCCAATGATGGTAGAAAGTCAAAACCAGGCGATCCGTCCATAAGCTGAAACCTCAGCTGTACAGGTTTGCCGAGACCTAGTCCAACTCGGCAGCGCGACGAAAAAGTAGTCCGGGTCGAAACCCCGGTGTCGGAAGCGATTGTGTTTTTTTTGTTTTTTTTGAGAGAAAAGATAACAACGACCGGTCGAGGTGTTGAGTCCGGGTCGAACACCGGCGTCAAATAAAGTTGTTGAGGCGTTCTTTTTTTTTAAAAAAAAGAAATCAGTTGTAGAATGTGATTCAAAACTGTTCAATCGATCAAAAGTAAGGCCTCGCCGGTCGAGTCTTTTTTTTTTTTTTTTAAAAAAAAAGGAGTCGCTAGTACAGTCGCCTGTCTGTCTCTATGGCCAAGCGACCCATCGACCAAAACACTAATATGTACAGTTTTAGATATGAATGATCCTGGGCAAAAGAGCCCGTCCCAGGGTTGAGATCGTAAAATGAGATTCAGGGTCGCCAAACAGATCGTCCAAGCTGGAAATTTGAGTCCGATAGCAGTCCAGCCATTCTTGTTGCAAGGCTGAAACCAAATGCTGGCCAAGTTTGCCAAGCATCCTCACAAAATATGTTGTGATTGAAAAAAAAAGAAACCCGTTTTGAAGAATGGAGGCCATCTGTTGTCGAACGAAGAAGAAAGATTTGTAGTAAATCGGGCCAGAAACTGTTCTGGAGCAAAAAACGGACGAAAGGACGAATCTTAACGAGTGAGGTTGTCGTTTTTGTTTGACAGTTGGCCAACCCGAGTGAAGAGATTTTGGTATGGTGATTCAAAAAGAAGGAAGAAAATAGCGACACCAAAAAAAATTGCAACATTGATATATTGAAGAAGAGTCTTTTCGCCAGCAAGAAGTCAAAAGGCAAGATGGTAAGTGAAGAGTGTAAGTAAACAAGGCGGTGTTGATCCAAGGATAGTCCGTCTAGCAATCCAAAAAGAACGAAGAGGTGTCCTTGAAGTCGGATCTGATTCCTTGAGAGCTTGTTCTCTCAACTTGAGAAATTGGGAACAGGTGTTTAATGCCTCCGGGATCTGAAACTTTCAATATTGGGGGCTCTGGTTCATTGTAGTTGATGACGGCCGAAAAATCCTTCATGAAGGGTTTTCCAAGGATAAGTGGTCCAATCTTCTGAGTAACTAAGAACAAGGTCGTTTCAAAAACTCCACCAATTGACAGAGAAGCCAATGCTATTCCTGAGATTTTGATGTCATCGTCACAAATCCCTGGCATCCATATGTCTTTCGGATGAACGTCGAAGTCAAGTTCTTGAGCCTCCTCTTCTGAGATGAAATTAAAAAGTAGTCCAGGGCACAGCAATCCTTCACAGTTGTATCCATTCAACTTGACTGCAATGGATCCAGGAGAAGGGAGATTATCGACTACCTGGTGGTTGGTTTCTTCTATTGTTTGAGCTGAAGAAAGGGTGAATTTGTTGAGGTCCTCTGAGTCTTCCATTGTTGACTTTTCAGTAGCTGCGGTTGAGGTAAAAGAGTAACTGAAGCTTGTTGATGGGGGAGGAGAAACCAGGGATTGATTCTGAGTGGCTGAAAAGGTGTCCACTATGTCCTTGATAGGCCTCCAGGGATCCAAGAGTATAGGTGAGTTGTCCGAGAGCCAAAATTCAGAGCCAATTCTTCTAATTAATCCTTTCTGCTGATCATAGCTGACTATATGACACCTGGAAATGGTGTGGCCTTTCTGAAAACAGTACAAGCATTTGAAATTCTTGGTGGATCTTGCAGGAGGTTTGCTGGACGGGTTGGTGGAAGGAATGAGGGAGTGGCCAGCCATGATTGAGAGGATTGGGAAATTTCTAAAAAGAAAGACTAAGGTGCAAAGGTAATTATTGTGGGTTGATGAGGGATTTAAGATGAAAGGACTGGGGAAGGAAAGATGGGGAAAATTAATTATTGTGGGTTTACAGATACTAGAGTGAGTGATAAGAAATCTGGGCTAGAGGTTTATAAGACTGAAGAATAAGGAGGAATTCAGCCACTGTTGGGACACCACTTGTGGAACTGCTGAACAATCAGAAACAGAGCTTGGAGGGGAAATAGACAACTACACTACGAATAATGTAAGTTGAGGCTATGGGTGCTGTTGAGGCTGCCCTCCTGTACAATGCTGGAGTTGGGAAGAGTTACACTAAGAAAAAGAAAAAAGGTGTGGCGTGGATTCTAGTAATTCTTAGTGAGTTCTAGGACAGGGAGGTGTTATCAAGGTCTAGTGATAATACCACTGAGTGAATGAGGAGTGATGAGGAAGGAGGATTGTGGAGTGAGGATTAAGGTTCAGAGGGTATGAGCAAAATATGCAGAGGTGGTCAAAGGATAATGTGCAAAATATGCAAGGTTTCTGAGGAATGAGTGCAAAGTATGCAAGGGGTCACTAAGGGGCAAAATATGCAAAAGAGGGGGAAAGAAAATATGACTAAATTATTTCTGGCAAAGTATGCATTGATTGTTGTATGTATTCTATCTATATTCTCCCTATTATCTATATATCTATATCGGGGGGGGTACAAGTGTAAGAGGGACTACTTATATACTCTAGGATACAAATGAGCACAGACTGTGGCAATTCTGGTTATGAGAAAGAAATGTACATATGTATAAATAAGAGATGAGAAATGTAAACAGAAAGCAAGGATGAGTAAAGGGGAACAAACCCAAAAAGGAGAAGGGCTGTGAAAGAGTGTACTACTGTTATCCTGAAGGGTACATGTGAAATAATGAGTGTAAAGAAAGTATCTGAGAAAATATCTGATATATGTAATGAGAAACAACTACTTTAAAGAATGTGACTGATGCAATGGGAACAAATAATTGTAAATGAGAGTACTTGAGAAAGATATGATGTATGAAGCAATCTGTAAATATGTACCATATGTAGCTACTGTGTAATGTAAATGTACAGAAAAATATCTGTAGAACTAAGAATGAAAATAACTATTGATCCAGTAAGAAATGAAATATGGCTTGAGTGAGTGACTATATATAAAATTGGGTGTAGAATCTGAATATGTCATAATAATGAAGGAAAACCAAGTGAATATACAGTGAAATAATAGGGGCTTTGGAAAGGTATGGGTTACCACACCGGGGCTCCTCAACAGTCCAGAAGAATCTGTTTTCGCTGCCGTTCCCCTCACCACTTGATTGGCCAATGCACTGCCCCGGATCCAAATGCTCGCCCTCCGACCCAGCTCAGGCCTCCACATCCGCCTCCAGCAGGTTTTGGTTCGGCTTATGGTCAGCCTGGTTTTCAGGCGTACTACCCTATCTTGGCTCCGACCGGTTCGGTCCCTATGTATTATCCTCCTCGCCCAACTCCATCCCGGTCCAGCGCGGTCGGATGGATTCTTACCGCCCCCAGTATGGTCAACAAGCCAGTGGACCCCGACCGACTGCTAGGGCGGCCGAGCCTGCTGAGCCGCCAAGCGACCCTTCCTTCCACAACCTTGATTGTTCCCCTACTCCTGCCACGGACTCTAATCCTCAGCCTTCCCTCTTCGACACGGGGGCTTCCCACCACCTGACTGGTGACAAGTCAGCCTTGTTTAATATTACTGTCTTATCAAATCCCATTCCCCTGAGAGTAGCCACTGACGGTAATGCTAAATTCATTACAGCGCGGGGGTCGATGGCTTTTACTGGGGCCAATGGAACAAGGGTGATTCTTGATGATGTTTTGTACTGTTCCTTTGCCAACGTCACCCTCATCTCCCCGGCTGCTCTGCGCCTTTCTGGTTTTCTTTTTTCTTATGACTGTTCCTCCAATAGTTTCCTTGTGTTTTCTGGTGATGTTCTATGGGCCATCTGTCGTTTCGACCCTCAGACTCGCAAGTGGTCTTTTCCTTCCCCGCATCGTTTTGCGTCTCCTTCTACGTTTTTTGGTTTTTCTGTTGCAAATCCTATTCCGACCTATTACTCGACTTGTTGTACTGTCCCTACCCCTAATACTGCTGTACCTCTTCCTGTCCCTACTCTCCATACTGTTGTACCCCCGCCGTCCTTCCGCGCCATGGACGCACCTGTTAATGATGAACCGTTTTTAGTGACTGTTCCGGAGCCTCGTGGCTCAGATTGGCAGGCTCCCTCCCTGACTGCTACTGAGAAATACTTACTGTTTCTCCATAAAAAATTTGGTCATGTTAGCCTGCGGACCTTGAGGCGCATGATCAAATTCAAAATGGCTTTGGGGCTCCCAGCAACTCTCCCACCTGGGAAGGTTATTTGTTCCTCTTGCCTGATCGCAAAAAGCAAGATGACTCCGACGCTAAAGAAGGAGGGGCGTACTTTTGGGAGACTGGAGGCACTGACTGTTGACTTGGTAGGACCTTTCGAAGTGCCTACGATGACGGGTGGACGTTACGTCATGACTATACGAGATATTGGTACCGGGTATAACGAAATTAAAATACTTGAACTAAAGTCGGATGCAACGCTGCTCCTCATGGAAGCAGTACAACACCTGGAAAAGTCTACTGGTCTGTCAGTAAAAATCATCAGGTCGGACAACGGGGGGGAGTTCAATGGGAAATCTTTGGGTGACTTCATGAAGAATAAAGGCATCACGGCGGAACGAGCGATCGCTTACCACCACTATCAGAACGGTGCTATTGAACGCTTCAATCGAACACTGCAAGAAACTGGTAGGACGTTACTGGTTGACAGTGGCCTCCCAAAGGCGTTTTGGGGGCTAGCGTTCCAATGGGCTGGTATGGTACTCAATCGAATACCAAACAAGGCCAGTGGGGACGTTACGCCGTACGAGAAACTGTTCGGAAGGAAACTGTTGGTCGATATTCTACGTCCTTTTGGTGCGAAAGGTTTTGTACATGTAGTGGAGGAACACCGCCAGAAATTAGACGATCGAGCTCTTGAGGGCATCCTGGTGAGCTGCCTGATGGGCAGCCGTGGATGGTGCTTCTGGATACCGTCGGAAGATCGTTTTGTCAACTCGGCTGTTTGTCGATTCCTGGATTTGGACGACAAAAACTTGGTTCCCGCAGAAATAGTTCGTTGGGATAGAATAGCAATGCCCGTGGGAGACTCTTTTGAATGTGTTGTTAACAGATTCTCGTTGGGAGACTTCTCCGATGAAATTGAATTTGACAAACAGGAACAGCTCGTGGCAGCACTCACTCAAACGACGGGAGATACTTCCCTACCACGCACATATAACCAAGCGCTAAAAGACAAGAATGTGTCGGAATGGATCTTGGCGATCAAGGAAGAACTAGCCAATTTGCAGGAGCTGGGGGTATGGGATGTGAAACTTGTCCCGGACAACACCCGGGTACTCGGTGCGAGATGGGTTTTTGCCCAAAAACTGAACAACAAGGGACAGGTGACTCGATTCAAGGCGCGATATGTTGCGAAGGGGTATTCTCAAATTGAAGGAGAACATTTTGGGAGCACGTTCGCACCTACAGCGACCTTCATCTCCATGAGGTTAATACTGACGATTGCAGCGAAAAACAATTGGCCAGTACACTTGTTCGACTTTGTGGCAGCATACTTAAATTCTCCTATCGACGAGGAGATATGGGTTGAAGCACCAAAGGGTCTGGATGTCCCAAAGAATTTTGCATGCCGTTTAAACAAGGCCCTTTATGGCACCAGACAAGCAGCGCGCTGTTGGTGGAAGCACCTGAGTGGTATTCTTGAGGGACTTGGGTATCATTCTTTGCAATATGATACAAGTGTCTATTGTCTAACTGGTGGAAAGAGTGGCGCGATTTGGATTCATGTGGATGATGGAATTATAACTGGTCCAAGTGTTGAGCAGCTACACGAACTGGAGTTGCAACTCAAGGATTCAATCAAAATCAAATGGGCAGCTGGCCTCGATAACATTGTAGGTATCTCGATAGAACGGAATGACAAGGGATTTATATTACGGCAACCAAACCTGACCAACAAAATTTTGAGCGAGCGGTGGGATGGTATTACAACAGCAAAGACCCCTTTTCCTAACACTGCCCTGCCGGAGACAAATCCCGATACTATTGGCGAGGATCCGACTACCTACCTATCCATTGTTGGCTCTCTTTCGTACTTGGCTGTAGCCACACGGCCGGACATAGCCTTCTCTGTGAATTTTTTGGCGTGTTTCTCTTCGAAACCTTCAAAAGCTCACTAGAAATTCTTGATGCATTTGATAGCTTATCTTGGCACGACACGGGATCAAGCTTTATACTTAACCCCAAACAAAGACTGTGGAGCACTTTCTTGCTATGTGGACGCGTATTGGGGGGGTGAATTCTCTAGGTCATCACACGGTTTGATCATCTTCTGCTTCGGTTGCCCGGTTGCTTGGGTTTCCAAACGGTTAGTAACGGTTGCTAGCTCCACAGCCCATGCGGAATACATGGCGATGGGGATAGGTGTGCGGGAGGTGTTGTGGATCAGAAATCTCTTGTTGGATTTGACTGGTTCAACTTTTGTGGCGGATGTCTTTTGCGATAATCAAGCAGCAATCAAAATAGGGACTAAGGATGGATCTAATAAACGGACACGGCATACAGACAGAGAATTCTACATCAGTAACCAGGCCTATTATGAAGGAAAAATCAATTTACATTGGGTAGATACAAAACATCAGTTTGCGGATATCTTCACAAAAAATTTATCGCCTATTCCTCACATGGACCAATGTTTGAAGGTAACTGGAGAAGCTCTGGCGAGAGGGTGGGTGTTGTAGCATGGAGTAATCCTAATCCTAGGATTATCGGATCACTCCATACTACCATGTAATACCTGTAACCTAGGCATTACATATGTCTCGCCGAGAGCTTTAGCCACCTGTAGTAGCCTATATATAGCGTGTAACAAAAGTAGTTGTACACCACGGGTGCAGAAAAATCCAAGTTCGACGTAAATTGACCCTGGCTGAGCGGTTGCCGTCAATCCTTAAGCTGTGACGGTTGATCCCCATCTCACAAATGGGTGAACGGGTCACACACAGCTTGAGACTGCACCTAACACAGGTTGCTCCCAGGATCACACACTCTGCCCGTTGCTCACCACATCCCGTCTCTATGCCGGCTAGGACACCGCCAGGGGACACATCCACAATGGCTGGAAATCCTGACTGCCGACAGCCGACCCAAACAATCAGGCCCATCTGTTAGACATCATTTCCACTGCCCATGACCGTCGGAAATCATTTGAGAGAGGCAAAGTGAGCTCTCTGATTTACGGCTCTGAGGCGGTGGGCAAGTTGTCTTGCCAAATCAGACGGTGATCTTTACATACTCAAGTGAGATGAGTTTCTCTGTTCCCCACAACCCCTTCATCCTTCTCACCACCACTTCTTTCCCTTCTTCAAAATATCCAACTCTTCCGATTCCGATTTTACACTATAAACAAATCCCAGTTTCTGAATTCTTAGGAAAAGACCGCCTTTCCATTCGCTGTTCTTCTATCCATTATTCTCTCATTCACCATTCTTAATCCACCACTCCCCCTGTCAAATCCAACTCCAACCCATTCCCAGTTCCACTGCAAAGATATTGACCACCCCCCTGTGCAACCCACCCGAACTATCAGTCAACCACCTCCAGTGTCTCAAACATCAAACTCAACCCTACACTGCACCCAATGGAACGCTATGGGGGGAGGTCAACTGCCTAGCAATAGCAGTGATACTTGACCTAGTAAGTCTGACTTCCAAAATATTCATTGCGGCTTAACCTTTTTGATGCTAAGCTTACGATTGTACTATATAGGCCCCTTGCCATTTTAGACGACCAGACACAGCGTAACACGCCGCTGGCCCCCAGCTATTGTCACATTTGAGACTACGGAGGGAGACCTCAATGCGAGTTTGTTCAACAGCTCGGTGGTCCTGATGCACCAGGTTTGATTTGCTTGGCCAAGGTTGCCCTGTGGGCATACCTCATTTTGCTCTTTTCTTCAATCTTATCTTGTACATAGATTGCTCTTTTACTTTGATTTATCGGAAGGCCAATCACAACCGAGCACTTTATTTGAATCCTGCCCATATTCTTACTGTGAGAGCCCGGTGCGCATGCAGTTGGCGGCACCAATTTAACAACTTGTTGAGCCCCAGGCGACCACTCGCTGGCTGGTTACCGGTCACGGGCTGTCTCCTCAGCCCATAATGCTTTGCACAAAGATGAGACGGTCAGTCGGTGTGAATTTCACGGGCGTGAGCAAGTCAATCTGAGTCTGCTTCTCCGGGGGCTGCTGGGCGATCCACGTTGCCATCCCGGTGTGGTACTGGTTGGGGGACGCAAAAATGAATGTAGGCGCTAGCTGATCACCAGTTGCGTAGCAACGGTCCTCTTGTAAGTCCATAGTCGACATTATGAAAAAATGAGACGTTGTCAAATTAAAGGAGTGACATTGAAAGCATGTAGTACCTACACAAGGATGAGCAACAATGAAATGTTGCGAAGTTAAAGGAGTGACATTGACAATAGTACAAAAAAGTAGAAAATGATGATCGAGGGCAACAAAAGGGATCGTCATGAGTAGCCAAGGCAACACAAAGAATGACGCCCGTGAAAAGAGGGAAAAACGGAAATCGTGTGCAAGCATGAGAGAAGTAGCAGGTCTTCCTGAGGACTGCTCGAAATATAAAAAGAGGGTTGTATCTGAGTTGTTCATCGCTGTCTCATGTGAGTGACCCCACAAATTTATTGAGCTTGCTTTCCGTCTGGCTGTCGACAACCTTCTTTGATCGTCTCATGAATCCCCCAGCAAGCCTCCTTGAAAGCACCCATCGATTCTGGAGAGCATTTCCTTCGAACCTCTTCTTTGTTCTTCCTCTTTGTTACAAGGTCGCATGTCCGCTTGATACAATCCCAAATCTCATCGACAATCGAGCCAACCAGCGCTTCGACTTCGGCCCCAGTCATGCTGACAGTCTCAGAGACCTCGGCGATCGTACTAGGGTAAGTGACAGAAACACCCTTACATCTTTCCTCGACAAACAAACGAACCACCTCGCATCGCTCCTTCAATCCATTTGCAGCAAGCACAGAGAAGTGCATTTGCATCACTCGACGGTTTGCAGCAAACTTGAGCACTTGTGTTGCCCTTTGCACCGCTCGAACGCTTGATTCCAGCATGAGGTTCAGGCTGGATTCATCCTCGTTTCTGTCAATGAGTGGGAGATTCTCATCGGGTTGGTCTCCGTGGTCAGATTGGCTGTCTTGAAGCTCCACCTCGCCAATCAGAATCGTTTCTGGCCCCATTTGTGGCACGGCATCAACTAGTAGGCCCACAGCAACCGTTTCGACAACCAACCACCCGAGCTCTTTTGCGAGAAAGTACATATGCTTGCAGCCACTCGCATGCCGAGAAAAGTGGTCACAAGTGCAGCAGGTGAGCTGGTTCTTGCGACCGTTGAACTGTGGTCGAAAAAAAACGAGGTAAGTGGCAGATGATGGGAAAGAAAACGAGTCGCATCGGAACTGCAAGCAGAGCAATAGTTAGTAAGAGTAAGGCCAATTGAACGAGAAAAGGGTACGCACATAGTTCTGACACATGACAATAGTGACTCCTAGCACTCTTAGAAATTCCTTTGTAAAACTCTCCCCCAAGCCCTTTGCTCGCAATTGAAATTTGTTGGCCGTTTGTTTCTTGATACCTCTGTGAACTTGTGTAGCTGTCATCTGATAATTCGGTATGACATCGTTTTTGAATATTTGGACAAGTTCATCGACTCGGACTCGTTCCTTTGTCTTGAGGACCCAATGCCAGCCTTCAACATAGTTATTGGTGTGTATGCCTTGATGAGCAGCCTACATAAAGAGATTCATATGTTAGTACGACAGAATGTGTTTGGGATTGAAGCCAAATATTGGGACCTACTGTTCGAAAACAAGTTGCCCACTTAGCATAATGCTTGTACCACTGTTTGTGTACGTATTGTGCAAACTTCGGGTTGACCTGTTCCCATTTTGCCTGGAACGACCGATAGCTGGCCTCAGGATCTGCGAGTTCCTTGTAAACGAGCTCCCAAAAGTCCTTGATAGCCTTGTCAGCCCGATCGTGTAGATATCGGGCTGCAGCGTCTCCATATGCCTTCAGCACATGGAACAAGCACCAGTAATGTTGGGGTGCGTACTGGCCGGCAAGTTGGTAGGTGTCTGCTATGGCATTAGTGATTGCGAGCGAGCAATCACTCATGATTGACTGCGGGATGAGTCCGGTGGATCGTTGGAGCCATGCAAGTATGAGCCGTTGTAAGACTCAAAAGTGGTTGTGAAACCCTTTTGCTGAATGGAGAAGGGGATGATGGAGTTTCAAGCTCTGCCCTTCTATGCTATCAGAACAACAAGACCACCAAGCTTAGCTTGGCAGTTATATTTATCGTGATAGAGGATAGTTCAAGATGAAGCTTCCGAGTGATGTGTATAAGGTCTGAAGTTATAAATGAGTGATGATTATATTGATGAAGCTGTTGTTCAAAGCTTTAAAACCAAGGCTTGGAGCTCTGGGAGCGCTATGCTTCAACCAGTAATGGTATGTGAGGCAGGTTATGGGCACTTGGCACTTGTTATGATGATGAAAGTGTTATGATTGTATTTCAATATAATGTATTGTTATGGCTGTCACTTGTATATAATCTGTAAGGGTGGTTGAGATGATCTGGTCCACTGGTGGGATGATGGAGGGAACAACTGGCAGGCAGAGGCCTCCTTATATAGACAAATGTGAGGGATTTTAGCCCCAGGGTACAGGCTTTTGAGGCATTTTAGCTGCCCTGAAGATCCAATGAGGGAATTTAGCTAGTCTAGTACATGCAGGTGAGGGAATTTGGCTGGTGAGAGCACTGCCTTGAGGGAATTTGGCTAGCCTACAAGGTCCTACTACAAAGGAATGCATGTGCACTTACAAAGGAATTCAATATGCACTATGTGCCAGTAAAGGAATTCAATACAACACAAAGGAATTCAATATTCAATATGCATCCAATATTCAAAACAAGCCATACTGAGAGTAAAGAATCCAAAAGATATCCCGTGACAGGTTGAAATCTGTGTAACTTCTAAACCATGAGAGATATGGGGTCAGTTGTAGTGGGTGACTAGGGTTAATTTTACCTGAGAAATCCATTTCTGATGTTATTTTTACCATATCTATAATATATAAAGAGATAATAATAAATTTTTATATTTTCTGCGTAGAAACACAGTATTATTTACCACACCGTAAGGGTGAGCTGTGTGTAATCACATGATTAATGTCAGCTTTGATTCAAGGATACTCCTGAATGAAGAGGGGTGACTCACGCCGATTCCGAAGCTGTAAAAGCCCAGCAGACAGGGAGGCCTTTGCCAACAACCGGATCCCTGATTACAAAGGTGTACAAGCTTACCTTTCGGCCATCCGAAAAGCAGTAGTTGCTGACCGAGTTGTGGGTAGCGTCAACCATTAGCATACCGGTGCCATAGGTGATCATCATTTCCTTTTGCCAAGGGCATTGAAATGCGAACAACCAATCATCGGAGGACTCCTGGAAAGGAAGGAACGTATTCCACCCCTGGCTGGCGAGATCGGAGTTCCATATACGAAGTGAGCTGAACACGTTGTCGTGCTTCTTGGACAAAACCTTGATTCGTTTGCGGATGAGGTGCCTGACGTGGTCGTATCGAATGTAACATCCCTCTCTGACAGCGACCGATTCATCCAACTGTTCATCAAATGAATCAAGTGAGTGAGTCTTTAATTATTCAGTTCCATGGAAGATAAGTTACATACCTGAAAAAGATCCGGGCAACTAAGGAGCTTCTCTATGGCATGCCATCCGAGGCCTGCAACAACCTGCTTGTTCAGCCACTGATTCACCACATGGGGTCGGCGTTGCATGGCCATATCCTCATGTGAATAAGGGTTATGATTGTGGTCCCACCACCAAACCACACGGAGTGATTTGGTTAGAACATGGTGGGACACAGTAAATCGGGCTGTACAACCAATCTTGCGTGATTTGACCTTCTTTTGTGAGTTGGGAGTTGGTTCATGGTGGCCATAGCAGGGGCATCGATATTCAATCTTGAATAGGTGTTCGGTGCGTTGGCCAATGGGTTTGGGTTGATCTGGTGTGACAGTGTCCAGGTCGTTGCGAGTGGTTTTTTGATGGATCCAAAGGACAGTTGCTTGCATGGCTTTCACAAATGCATGTGCATCATCAAGAGTGTGGCCTGGGATGGAGAAGGAGTGAGGATAGTCGGAGAAGGACGGGGGAGTGCCACCCATACGACGTACTAGGCGCAATGCATTTGGTATGGAAGATGAGATGTCGGGGGCAGCCATTTCTTGAGTGAAGGGCAATGGAACTACATCAAAGATATCGGCAACATAAGGGTACTCTAAGTGACGTTGAATAGTAGCAGCTTGCTTCATTGAAGGATGAACAAGTGGATGGGGTAGATAAATGTAGTAAGAAGCGGTTTTAATGACACAATGGCAGTGACAGGCCTGAATTGGGTACTGTAAGGGCTGCTAGGGAAACGGTGGAGGGTCAAAATCAAGGAAAAATTCAAGCTGACAGCAGAGAAGGGGTTGGGATCGGGTCAGAAGAGTTGGTGTGCAGACAAAAGCAACTTAACAATGTGCAATTAAAAAGTAGTAAAGGGGTAAGGGCACCGGGCCAAGGGTTAGAGTGACTGAAAATTAGGTGGATCTTATCGATAGAGCTGTGTGGGGGTGTAGAAGGAATCACCCAAGATGCTGTTTTATAGTATTTTCGTGCCTCAAGGGGATGAGGAGCTTATTATCATCCTTTCCGATGTTTAGCCTCTTGCAGGCTATGTGAGAATTAATGCATTCAAGGTAGTGATGCCTATGTGATGTCATTTCCCATTAGGGAAAGTCTCATCCTAGGGATTACATATAATGAGGAAATTCGGTTACCTAGGGATTACAGATAATGAGGAAATGCGGTTGCGGACTTTCCTGCTCTTTACCTTCACTATCAATCTGCATACTCCAGGATGATCTGACTAAAACGTCGAGCAAGCGCCTTCTTTCAATCGGAGTTGGGGGACGGGTGCTACATCCGTCCCTAGACGAACGTTCTCGACAGACACTATGCGCAATTTCCAAGACGGTCACATAGTAACCGTCATTTAGACCTTGTACGGGGCCCGTGTATGGGGCGTCATGTCTTGCCGGGAGGTCCCGTCTCACGACGGACCAAAAGTATTGTGGCCTGAGGTGCGATAGTGTTCAATTCCTCAAGGTTCCGAGACCTTTACTACTCGGAAGTCTCGGAAGAGACTTCCTCTGGTGCCGTGCTGCGGCGAGGCAGAGGCCTGTAACAGGAATGTTACAACACCCCCCCTCTCGCCGCAGACGCCCCACTACATACAAACAAACAGTAAGAGAAGCAAAAAAATATTAAAGAAAACAAAGTGCTCCAAGCTTACAGCTCATAGAGAAGTCATAATAATGAAATGTAGAAAATATCTTCAACCCATAATTTTATCACGCAGTCCACGGAAAAGGTCAGGTGATAAACATTTGGTGAACACATCCGCTATTTGCTCCTTTGTCCCGACCCAAGAGAGTGTCGTCTTCTTCTGAAACAGAGCTTCATTAGTGATATAGAAATCTCTATCTGAGTGCCTAGTCCGCTTATTTGAAGCGTCATCCGTCGCCACCCTGACCGTAGATTGGTTATCACAATGGAGATGTCCAACAAAATCCATCTTCAGAACGTCTTTTAGTAAATGTCTTACCCAAAGAGTCTGACGCGTAGCCACTCCCAGAGCCATATATTCCGCATGGCAGGTTGATGAAGCCACTGATTGTTGTCGTCGAGCTACCCATAGGACTGGACAATTGAAGACTGTAATAAAAACTCCGTAAGCTGATCTCGAAAACTCCCCACCCCATGACGCATCACAATAAGTTTTCAGCGGTTTGTCGTCCAACTTCGGAAAAAGTGAAAGCCTCAAGTCCCTTGTGCCTGCTAGATAGTTGATCAGGTGGCGAACACCCTTCCAATGGGTTTCTCCAGGTTTTGCTGCAAAGCGAGCAAGCAGATTCACTGCATGACAGATGTCTGGCCTGGTTCCGACGGCCAAGTAGCTGAGCGAGCCTATAACAGATAAAAATTTTCCGGTCATACTTGGATCGCCATCCGGGTCAGTAAGTGGGTTGAAATTTGTGGGCAGAGGTGTGCTGGCTGTTGAGGCACCATCCCATTCCAACTCCAGAATACTATCAATCAAATTCTTCTGAAAAAGTTGAAAACCTTGATCCGTTCGCACCACATTCAAACCTACAATTGAATCAAGGGAAGAGGACCACTTGATCTTTAATATATCTTTCAGATCCATCTCCAACTTTCTGAGAAGGTCCTCGGATGATGCTGTCACCACCCCATCGTCAACGTGCAGCCAGATTACGCCTTGCTTCTCCGGGTGTCGCAGGATGTAGAGACTGTTGTCGTACTGTGAGGGGATATAGTTCAGTTTATTCAGTACTTCTCTCAGATGCAGCCACCAGCATCGTGCTGCCTGTCGAGTCCCGTAGAGAGCCTTCTGGAGGAGGAGAGCATGTCCTGGCGGTACTTCCAGTCCTTCAGGGGGTTTGACCCATACTTCCTCGTCTATTGGAGAGTTAAGATAAGCTGCTACAAAATCAAAACTGTGAACTGGCCACTTGTTAGCAGCTGCTATACTAAGCAGAACACGGAGAGCTACAAAAGTGGCTGTAGGTGCAAAGGTTTCATTAAAATCGACACCGGACACCTGCGTGAATCCTTTGGCCACAAAACGAGCTTTGAAACGGATCCCAGTGCCATCGACGTCCGGCTTTGTTGCAAAAACCCATCGACCGTTCAATGCTTTCTTGTCTGTTGGCATCAAACGAACAAGCCATACCCTCATTTGTTCCAAATTGTTCAGTTCGATAGAAATTGCCTTCGACCACGCTTCCTTCTCGGGTGACTTCATCGCCTGTTTGAAAGTTTTCGGAACAGAAATGGCATAAAACTGACACAATTCTAGGATTTTGTCAACAATCAATTCTTGGTCATGGAATTCAATCTCTCTGGTAAAATCACCCAGTTGCATCAGGTTCATGATAAAATCCACACTTAAACGAGGTGTCTTCTCGGCAAGTCCGGGATCGATGTGGTTTGTTGCCGTCTCAGGATTTGTGGTATTGTTGTCAAGGTCATCGCCCACTTTACCAATTTTTGTGAAGTGAGAGTGTTCTGCATCGACAAAAGTCACCAGGGCAGAGCTGACAAAACGGTTTTCGGAGGGAATCCAGAACATCCATCCCTTGCTCGTTTCCAGATGCGCCACGACCTGACCCTGTAGCGCCCTTGTGTCCAGCTTCAGTCGATTTTCCACCGGTACGTGCACATATGCATAGCTGCCGAAAGCCCTAAAACGATCAAAGTGTGGTTTAATTTGGAAGAGAGCTTCATAAGGCGTGACTTTCCCGCTAGCCTTATTTGGCAACCTGTTCAGAACATGTCCGGCCCACTGGAAAGCGTAGCACCAGAAAGTCTTAGGAAGAGAGCTGTCAATCAAAACTGTTCGTCCCATAGCCTGCACCGTCCGGTTAAAACGTTCAATCATTCCATTCTGATAGTGGTGGTATGGCAAAGCTCTCTCTGTACCAATCCCTTTGTTAGTAAGAAATTCTCCAAGGGCTTTGTTAATGAATTCACCCCCATTGTCACTTCGAAGCATTAAAACTTTATTTGACGTTATCCTCTCCAGACGTGTTATTGTGTCCATAATAACCTTATTAGAATCTGATTTCGCTTTGATAGGCTTAACGAAACAGTATCCTGAGGCTGAGTCTCGGAGTGTAAGCAAATATTTACTGCCGTCCACTGCCTCCACCTCGAAAGGGCCGATAAGATCTACCGCCAGAATTTCCATCCGTTTGATTTCCCTTTTTGTTGATGTTAGAGTGTTCAGGGCACTACTTTTGCTGATTGCACAGACAGGGCAGTGGATAGACCCATGCGGCAGTGACTTTGGTAGACCTTCTCCTAGATTCTCCTTGATTAGTTTCCTGAGTACGCGTAACCCCACATGGCCAAAAACTCGGTGCCAAAACAATAATTGTTTCTCATCTTTGGATAGTGTTTCTGGTCTCCATTGGAAATTATCAATTTTAGCAATAGGAGCTTTGAAAAAATTCTCACCACTGAACTTGGCAGTTGCAGCATTCAAAATTGGTTGAGACGGGGACATATCAGACAGCAAAGGATAGATTTGATTTCCTGTAGAAATGTTAGAAACACTAGGGGAAAAAACAGTGTCAAGAGACGAGGAAAGAGGACTTGACAAAGACTGATTGGCAGACGGGGATTTCTTGACAGTTGATGAGAAAAGAACAGAAATGTCTCCACTTGATTCACGAATATTGTTGCTCAAGAAGCAGTAGGGAAGGCACCATCGATTCCTCGACTTGTCTAGCGTGCAGCTAAAGGCATGGTTTCCCAGACTAGAGCTGGTCTCTGGATATCCGTTGCGGATATCCGTTATCCGCTGGCGGATACCCGCCCGCTGTAGCGGATACCCGCCAGCGGATGCGGGTTCGGGTGCGGATGTGCCCTTTCCGCTGATTTTCCAGCGGATACCCGGGTATCTCAACAGATACCCGAGGCGGGAAGGGCAGATGGCCGGCTGGAAGGATATCCTTCCAGCCGGCGAGGTACATGTTACTCGGCCGGCCGATAGGAAAGAGC